AACTTTATTGTTATCACATAGGGGGCTAAGAAGTCCCCTATGTGATAACAAATTACAGTGACAGGTCCTCTTTATGGAGACATCAGGGGTCTCTAAGACCCCTAATGTCACCTTGGGACCCCCAGAGAAGCTGATGAAGCAGAGACCTACTTCACCAGCTTCTCTCCGGTTTCTGTACCGGAGAGTGACAGAGGAATGCAGGACATTGTGACAGGGTCTCTTTAGTAACCGGGCAAGGTGACGGGGTCTCTTTAGTAACCGGGCATGGTGACGGGGTCTCTTTAATGACCGGGCAAGGTGACGGGGTCTCTTTAATGGCCGGGCATGGTGACAGGGTCTCTTTAATGACCGGGCATGGTGACAGGGTCTCTTTAATGACCGGGCATGGTGACAGGGTCTCTTTAATGACCGGGCAAGGTGACAGGGTCTCTTTAATGACCGGGCATGGTGACAGGGTCTCTTTAATGACCGGGCAAGGTGACAGGGTCTCTTTAATGACCGGGCAAGGTGACAGGGTCTCTTTAATGACCGGGCAAGGTGACAGGGTCTCTTTAATGACCGGGCAAGGTGACAGGGTCTCTTTAATGACCGGGCAAGGTGACAGGGTCTCTTTAATGACCAGGCATGGTGACAGGGTCTCTTTAATGGCCGGGCAAGGTGACAGGGTCTCTTTAATGACCGGGTAAGGTGACAGGGTCTCTTTAATGGCCGGGCATGGTGACGGGGTCTCTTTAATGTGCGTTTACCTTGCAGTTTTGGCACATCCCTCCCATGAATAGCGGGTGTTCCAGGGTGACGTTCAGACTGCCGCAGGAGATGCAGATATCTGGAATACAGAGAGACGTCTTCATCACATGCAGAGCGCGGGGTGCGGGGGGAGTCACATGCGTCGTGGTCCGTACACACGGCACCCCCCTATATCCGAGGTCCTCATCCTGCGTGATCTCCGGACCCACATCCGTCACCATGTCTTCACACAGCAATGGGACGCACAGCAATGGAACGCACAGCATTACAGCAAAAGCTGCTCCCCGCCCCCACATACTATACTGGGAGAATGAGGAGGAGCGCCATGTCCTATACTGGGAGAATGAGGAGGAGCGCCATGTCCTATACTGGGAGAATGAGGAGGAGCGCCATGTCCTATGCTGGGAGAATGAGGAGGAGCGCCATGTCGTGTGTGACACCCCCCTGAAAGGCTCAGATTTGCTGGATGAAGGACACAGATGATGATGAAGATTCTGACCCAAATCAGACACATCAGGACCACAGCGTCTCATCATACAACATACAACATACAACATACATGGAGGGAAAGACTCACCTTCAATGTGTCGGCACTTCTGTCTGACTTCAAAGACCAACCGCTCTGCAAAACAACCGAAAGACAATGAGGACAACGAGGACAACGAGGCGGGATAACGCTGACCGCAATGGTCCCGCCATATGTAGGCCGTCTCCGCGCACTTCTTACGGCCCGACGTTTCACACCGCCATTGCCGGATCCCATACAAGAGAGAAGAAGCTGGGGGAGCAGATCTCGGCTTCATCAGCTTCTTTTGGGGTCCCCAGGTGACATTAGGGGTCTTAGCGACCCCTAATGTCTCCATAAAGAGGACCTGTCAGTGTGCCTGTGCTATTATATAGGGGGATGGTATCCCCCCCCCCTGTGATAGCAATAACAAGAAGTGTAAAAAAAATATATCAATAAAAAAAAAGTAAAAAGAATAAAAGTAAAAAAAAAACCCAAAATGTTTAACCCCCCACCCTCGCGTTTACGCACATATAGACGTAAATACGCGCTGGCGAAACGGAGCGGGGAGGGGGGAATCCAGCCCCTCCCCGAGGATCGAGAGGTGAGCGAGCGCCGGTATGTGTTCGCTCACCTCCCGATCTACTGAGCCGACCTGCGACAGTCTCATTGTCACACGTCGCCCCGAACTATGAGGTGAGTGAAAAGCCCCTCCCCCTCATAGTTCTCCTTTAATATAGTAAAAAATATCCCCCCCCCACCCCCCAGCGGTGATTAAATACCCCCAAAAGAAAGCTCTATCTGTCCCCAAAAAATTGTATAAAATTCATTTCAGTACAGCGCTGCATGACGGAATAAATGTCAGTCAAAGTACCGCAGCGCTGAATACTGA